ACAGTCTGGCACAGACATCATTTGTGGTGTAAGCCCGACCCTAATGAGACGTTGATAAAGGAAAAGTGTTCGCGTAACCACACGACTATATATTTGCCTTCATTTGCGGTTGTCTCACACGCGAATGTTAGTGAATGGGAGTGGCGGAGCCCAAGGTGCGTTGTTGAACGGTCGTGTTATGCCTCGTGATGGATGGTGCGGCACCAGAATTAACAGCAAAAGCCGTGGACCATGTTAAAGGCGCATTGGGGATGGCACTTGTCCAGCAATTAGATTATGAGCTCTGACTACGGGCAAGCACATTGGATGCATACCCCCGGATGTGGACAGACATACAAATCGCGATGCACGCTGGCACATTGGTTTGGTTTTGCGATTTAACGTAGCGTGGTCCCACGCGACGTTGCGTGCCGCTGCTCTCGGCCTGGGTCTTGTTTCGCGGCAGTGCAAAGATCGGCGTAGTTCTTGGCTTGCAGCCGGGCGGGCGCAGATGCAGTGTCCGTCTGTAGTTCGCGTATTGGCTCCAGAGCCAATGTCGGTCTGCCTTTGACCCGCGCGCCCGTTGTCGGTCCCTCTACTACCGCCTGCTGTGTCCGTCTGTGCCCCGTGCGCTGTTGTCTGCCCCTCCACCACCTCCTGCCGTGTCCGTCTGTGACCCGTGCGCTGTTTGTCTGTCCCTCTACCACCGCCTGCCGTATCCGTCTGTGACTCGCGTGCCGTGGTCGGCCGCCGCCTCTGGCTGACTCGTGTCTCCGCACCGCCGCCAGATTAAGTCGGCGCCGTCGCCGACCGTGCTGGCCGGGCCGGGCCGCGCCATTGCCCGGCCCGGCGTCCGGCGCCGTCGGCCGCTGCCGCCGCCGCCGACAGCGACGATGGCCGGCCGCAACGACTGCCGGACGGCGACTTGACGCTGGAGCAGCGCCACCACCGCGCCTCCAAGCTGGCGCGCATCAAGCGCATAGGCGAGATTGCTGCTGCCGGACCAGCGACCGGGCGAGCCGTGCGGCGCTGCCGGCCAGAACGGCGCGTCCGGCCCCAACCGGCCGGCCGGGCCCAACGGGCCCATGGCCGGACCCAACGGGCCCATGGCCGGACCCCAACGGGCCCATGATGATGGCCGGACCCAACGGACCCCGTCATGATGGCCGGCCCCAGCGGTCCCGCCGGCCTGGGCGGGCCCGGCGGAGGCCCCATGGGAATGGGAGGGCCTAATGGGTCGGGTGGTATGGGAGCCCCGAATGGTCCCATGGGAAGGGCGGTCCAAACGGCCCGGCTGGAATGGGAGGTCACGGCGGTCCCGGGCTGGGAGGGCCCCAATGGTCCGATGGGAATGGGAGGTCACAATGGTCCTGGTGGTGTGGGAGATCTCAGTAGTCCCTCTGGTATGGGAGGTCCCAATGGCCCCATTGGAATGGGTGGTCCTAACGGCCCCAGAGCAGGCATGAACGGCTCCATGGTCCCGGTCAGTATGAATGGCTCTATGCCGTCTGGCGCTATGAATGGCCCCATGCCCCCGTACAGCATGAATGGTCCAATGCCCTCAGTCAGCATGAATGGCCCATGCCCCCTGGAAGCATGAATGGGCCCATGCCTCCGGGAGGTATGAATGGGCCCATGCCGCCGGGAGGCATGAATGGGCCCATGCCGCCGGGTGGCATGAATGGGCCCATGCCTCCGGGAGCGATGAATGGACCCATGCTTCCGGGAGGTATGAACGGGCCTATGCATCCAGGAGGCATGAATGGTCCCATGCCTCCTGGGGGCAATGAACGGGCCCATGCCTCCTGGAGGCGTGATGGTGGGCCCCAACGGCCCAATCCCTCACAACATGTTCGGAGGTCCCGGTGGCGGTCAGATGGGTCCGATGGGTAGCCACGGACCGATGATGCCCCAGGGCGGCGCGATGGGGCCGGGCATGATGGGCCCGATGGACCCGCGCATGATGGCGCCGCACCAGCGGATGATGGTGCCCGGCATGATGGGGCCAGGCGGCCCGGCCAGCTCCATGGCCGCCCAGATGGAGTGGCAAGCGACTGCAGAGCGAATTCTACGACGACCGGCGGCGCAAGGCGCCCGGTGCGCCGGCCAACATGCGCATGATGATGATGCCCAGCCGGATGCAGGGTCCGCCGCCGCCGTACCCGCAGAGCCAGCCGCGCGCGCTGCCCAGCCCCAGCCCGAGCTCGCGTTCGCCGACCACCTCGCTGCCTCGCACCTCCCCCCGGCTGGGCTCGCCGGCCGTCTGTCCGCGCCTGCCCACGCCCGGCCCGTCGCCGCACTCGCTGGCCGGCACGGCGGCGCCGTCGCCGCGGCCGGCGCCCTCGCCCTCGCCGCGCCACCTCAGCAACCCGGGCACGCCGGCGTCGCTGGCGTCGCCGGCGCCGGCCGCCGGCGGCCGTGTGCCGGCGCCCGAGTTCACGCCGCCGCAGAGCCAGCCGCCCGTGTCCGCCGGGCCCGGCAGCACGTCGCCGGCCGCTCCAGGTGGGTGGCGACGGCGTCCGGCAACGGCCGCATCACTCGGTAACAGTGCGGAGGCTCGTCTCCGCCTGCTTGCGTTTAATTGTTTGGTGTTGCTGGGCGACGAAAAATTAATGCGGAAAGTCATACCTGCTCGTGTTGGGCGGTAAATACTGGATGCTCTGTGTGGCGTTGTGCTTATTTCATTGAAAAGGTGGCGCCATTTGCTAAGAAAGGCAGGTCGCTTTACTTTCTGATGCAGGTGTTATGATAGGTCCAATGTTCAATTTATGAGGGTTTAGAAGCTTTTTTAGCCTTGCCAAGCCAAGGTTTAGCCTTGGAAAACTCTAAATGCTGACAGCGTAACGTTGTATGCTGGAAACCGTTATCCAGTGCTTAGTGCTACATTTGAGGTCGATTATAGTGAGCTTAAGAACTCCCAACCGACAACTAAAATTCATTCTGTCCCAGCTGGAGTCCCTGACGCTGTAACACGTCATCCCGGCGTTCTTGCAGGTGACATGTTCGGCCGGTCAGGAATGAACCCGAACTTCCCCAGCCACCTGACCAACGAAGCTAATCTGATGCCCGTGCCTTCGCCCCAACAAATACAGTACATCAACAACTTCGAGGGTCAAGAGCTGACCATCCACAAGCAGGCCAACACGGGCCTGCGGGACTCAGACATCCGTTCACCATCGTGAGTGCGAGGGGCGCCAGGGCGCGGCTGGGCTGGGGGGGGGGGGGGCTAACGTCAGAAAGCTTCACCATCGTGAGTGCGAGGGGCGCCCGGGCGCGGCCGGGCTGGGGGGGGGGGGGGGGGGGGCTGACGCCAGATAGCTTCACCATCGTGAGTGCGAGGGCGCCCGGGCGCGGCTGGGCTGGGGGGCTAACGCCAGATAGCTTCACCATCGTGAGTGCGAGGGACGCCCGGGCGCGGCTGGGCTGGGGGGGGGGGGGGGCTGACGCCAGATAGCTGCCCTTGGACGGGGCTGGGTTGCCGAGGGGCACAAGTCGGAGGTGTCGCGCTGGTGAGCATGTGTGAGGGCACAGCAGTGGACGGGTGGCATACGTTCGGTACCGCGGGTGGGTCGTGATGAGGGACGACGGGTGTTATGACATGCGGGTCCGAGGGTACGGCGTGTGCCGGTGCTCTGCTACGTGGTAGCCCGCTGCCCCATCTCTTTCATCGTGCTTGTGCTGTTGGTTGGGAGCCTCACTTGTCCGGTCCGTTCCGGCGTGCGTTCGCAATCACTTGGTACCTGTCCGTCCGTCCCCCCCCCCCTCGCCGCTGCACGGTAACCTCCAACCCCCCCCCCCCCCCCCCAGGGTAGAGATAATGTAGTGGTTAAGCTGTGCGTCTGGGAAACCAAAGGTACGAGGTGTGATTCTCCACGCTCTTGTCCTTCCTGCTAGGGTGAGGAGTCCGACCCGTTAGTTTCAGCGTGTCTGCCTTTTCCTTATATCCTTCTGATATTCCAGGTGCTTCTGCCCTGGTAGTGTCGCGTTTATTTGAGCTGGCAATGTTCGTCGCCGGGCGACCTGCGTGTCGGCGCTGTTGTTCCTTCGCTGTTGCGTAGGTGTTGTGCACGCAGCCACAGTCAGGGTAGCACTCTGTCCGGTCCGTGTGAGCGTGGCGCGGTTGCCTGGTGACCCCTGTACCGCCTGTTTTGGTATGCCTTCGCCGTTGCCTGGTACCCGTCTGCCTTCCCCCTCCCCTCGGTCCTGTGTATGTTCAGGGTGCCTTCGCCGTGCCCCGGTGACGCCCGGCCCCATCCGTTTCAGCGTGCCTTCGCTGTCCGCCGGCGACGTGTCTGGCGAGCCGGCGGCGCCGCAGCTCGTCACGAGCCGTGCCGGCCCCGGCACGCCGCTGACACCGGGCGGTGGCGGCGGCGGCGGCCCGGCGCCCAGCCCGCAGCAGCCGGCCGGGCCGCCGACGCCCGGCAGCGCCGACGGCAAGGCCCGCTTCCCAGGCCGCAGTCCGGGCGGGCCGCGCACGCCCGGTGCCGGCGGTGACGCCCGCTTCCTGGCGCCCAGCCCCAAGCCGGCGGGCTTCCCCGGCTGCGGCCCGAGCATGCTCGGCAGCCCGCGCATGCCGTTCATGGAGCCGATGCCGGGCCGGCCGGGCGAGCTGGACCTGCCGCTCGGCCACCCGCACCTGCCGCTCAACCCGCGCCAGTCGCCCGCGCTCGCCCCGGACAAGATGTTCGACCCGATCTCGTCCATGGTGCAGATGTCGCAGCAGCTGGGCGGCGGCGGCGGTGGCGGCGGCCCGGGCCCGCCCGGCCCACCCGGCCCGCCCGTCTCTAGCACGGCGGGCGCCTTCCTCTCTGGCGGGGGCGTGGAGTGTGGGCCCGGCCTGCCGCCGGCCGCCGCCAGTCCGCGCCTCATGCCGCCCTGCTCGGTCCAGCAGCCGACGGCGTCGCCGGGTCCGGCCGGCCGCGGCATGCCGCCGGCTCAGCCGTTTGGCCCCGGGCCGGGCATGGCGCCGCGCATGGCCGGCCCGGGCCGGCCGGCCGCCGCTGGCCCCGGCCCGGGTCCCGGCCCCGGCTCCGGCCCCGGGCCCGGCCCCGGCCCCGGCTCCGGTTCCGGCCCCTACAGTGGCGCCAGCGTGCAGGTGAAAGCGAGTGCACCCAACACGATCCAGTACTTGCCGACGCGACCGCAGACGTCCAGCGCGGGACCACGTGGACCGCCCAGCCTCGAGTTCCTGCAGCGCTTCACCGGGCCCGGCGGAGTCAGCCCCGGCGCCATGGGCATGATGGCCGACCAGGGCGGCCCCATGCCCGGCCAGGGCGGACCCATGCCCGGACAGGGCATGCCCATGACCGTGCCCAGTGGGCCGATGAGCGGCGGCGGCGTGCCCATGGGAGGACCCATGGCCGGCGGTGGCGTGCCCATGGGCGGACCGATGGGCGGTGGCATGCCCATGGGCGGACCGATGGGCGGCGGCATGCCGATGGGAGCGCCGATGGCCGGCGGCAGCCACATGGGAGGACCGATGAGTGGGCCGATGTGCGGCGCCGGCCCCATGGGCGGACCGATGAGTGGTGGTGTGTCGATGAGTGGACCGAGTATGAGTGTGAGCGGCCCCATGACCGCCTCGAACTCCATGTCGATGAGTGGGCCCGGCGCTCCCATGATGGGCATACCCGGCGGGCCCATGGGCGGCATGCCGATGGGCGCTGACCCGCGGCATGGCGGGCCTATGGGCCGCCAGATGAACATGATCATAGGTCCGAACGGCCCCATGATGAGCGGCCCCATGCAGCCGGGCTTCGGGCCGCCGATGGGCATGGGCCCCGGCGGGCCGGTGATGGTGTCTGGCGGCCCGATGCCGGGCCAGATGGTGCCGCGTGCCGCTATGATGCGCGGCCCCAGCCCCAGCATGGCCATGGCCGGCATGGCCGAGCCCATGTTCGGGCCCGGCGGGCCGCAGCCCATGATGGCCGGCGGCGGACCGACGCCGGCGCCCGCCATGTTCGGGCCCAAAGGCGGCGCAATGGCGCCGATGGGCGGCGGCCCGGGCGCGCCCGAGGCCGCCCAGCCGCTGCCGCCGTCCATGGGCCAGCCGGGCGCCATCAAGACTGGACAGTTCGGCTGGTACCACTGACCCGTCGCCGGCGCGCCCGGCCGCCCGACCGCCCCGTCGCGCCCCGCCGGTCCTGTGATGGTGCAATAAGAGCGATATTTCCTGTCGGTTGCGCGCGCAGTCGCCGAGTGGCCGCCGACCGGCCGCGTGGCGCCGCTGGAGTCTCCGTCGTGGCACGGACCGCCGCCGGTCGCCGCGCGTCGGCCAGGCGCCGCTCGGTCCGCACAGTATTACGACAGAGGGGGGCGGGGCAGGGCGGGCGGAGCTGGCCGCCGGCCGCCGGCGGCGGCGCTCGTCAGCGCCTGACGACGCGCGTGTCCTCGTCTTGGTCTGTTGCACCGGCGCACAGGCGGCTCATCACAGTGTTCGCGGAAACGGCGCGTGTTAAGATTATTATTTTGAAGAGTGTTTTTTAGACGATTTGTACAGTGTTCACCGCCCCTGTACAGGCAGCATCGCTCGAGACGGCTCAGTATCCATTATTCATTACTTGTGTATCTAGGTTGTACGTGTACATTTTTAATATATGATGCTGGCAAACCCGGTTTTTGTTGGTGGCACTTTCGTTGCCCTGGGGTCCCTTTCAGCATAACGGCAGTCTCGTTCGTGCAGCGTTCAGTGACTCCATGGCGTGCTGCGCTCAAATCAGGTCGAAGGTTCAGGGATGCAGGCTGATTCGGAGAGAGATAACGTCTGCACTAGCAGGAAGGGTGCCGCTCTGTGGTCTTTACCCAATCGTGACAAGTGCAGCGACAAGTTTTGACAGAGGGGGGGGGGGGGGGGGGGGAGCTCTCGTTCAACCACTGGTGAATATTTTGGGGCTACATGTGGGATAACAAGTAACTGAAGCCGTCCTGAGTTGCTGCTGACGCGGAGGCGCCCGCACAAAACTAAGCCGAGGCTGCGCGGGCGCTCAGGGGTTTCCGACCAGGGTGGCCGTGGGCCCAGCTCGGCACACTCCCGGCGAGGAAAACGGCTGCGAGCGCGCGGGGTGAGGCGGTACGAGTGGATAAGAGCGGCCTGGCGCCTTAGAACGGCACTGTGACACCAGCGATGTGCCCGCGGCAGAATGTCACAGGTTTTGATCCTTGAAGTCAAATTACGCGTCACTTTTCGATTGTTGAAGATTAAAAATAGATCCCCGAACTCGTCAATGACTGTTAGCGTTGTGTCACGCAACGCGGCTCAACTGCGCAACTTATCTTTCGCACGTTCCTATAAAAAGGAGCACAACTGGTTCATCTTCAGAGTGAGAAGTTCCAGTTACACTACAAGAACTTACGGCAATTGTAGCAGTGCACCTTGCACTACGCTAAGGCTTCTGGGCCACATGATCCTCAGGACGTCAGCTTCATCATAGGTGCTAGTTTTGGCCGTCGACTAACCCGCTAAGGCAAAGGTGGGCTACGTCTGAAACGCCAATCCTGCTCGAGTTGTCATCTTTCAGCTTCATCTGAATTTGTATATATATATATATATATATATATATATATATATATATATATATATTGGGGTACAAGTGGGATTGCAAGTAACTGAAGCCCCCTCCCCCGAGTTGCCTCCGACGCTGAGGCGCTCCGCACGGAACTAAGCCGAGGTTGTGCGGGTACTCAGGGGTTCACGACACCGATATTTATGTATTTGTATGTATATATACACATATATATATATATATATATATATATATATATATATATATATATATATATATATAGTTCCAAACGCTTTCTAACCAACTCAATCGTCTGCCCGAAACACTGGCACGTTATCGTGTCTCAACCGGGCTGCCAGAAAACGTACTTTTGGTGTGTGCATTGTACGAATGCTGATGCAGTGTCACCTCGCAATATCCCCTTGACCATAGAAAGTGGCTTTTATTATCCTGATGAAGGGCGATATCACATCTTGAGAGCACCGGCATCAGAACGATGTAGTACTTCGAACAACGGACTGCCCCATTGCACTAATGTCCGGTTCTGGACGACCGGGTCCGATTGTCTTGCTCTTTGACACACTGCCAAGCGCCCGCCTCGATTCTTCTTGGTACCTATTGCCCGTAAGTGCTTGGTTAGCGGACATGTCATTCTGAGCTCCCTCCACAACAGCGCTTCACACTCCGGAAACAACCAGAACATCGATTGGCTGAGTTTATTCGAGCCGTAATGAGTTTGGCTTCTTCATTAAGGTGTCCACGGCCATTCCGGTAATGGGCGAACCGCGGCCGGCCGCAAGGCCAGAGACAGGGGAGCGGCCAACGGCTAACAGGAAGCGCTTACCTCGCATCACTGTCGTTGCTCTGGAGCCATGCGATACTCCCCCCCCCCCCCCCGCATCGGCAGCGGCAAGGATATTGTTTTGTCTGTCCTCCCACAACCACGATCTGAAATGCCCCTCTCCCCCCCTCCCCCCCAACCATCAGAACACCAGTTTGCCCCAGAGCTGAGTTTTGGCAGGCCTTCTTTGCCGTCGTATTCTGACAACGCTCCGGGCCAGACAATCTCACTGTTAACCAAAGCCCGACAGACAACCGTAGGGCACGACGCACAATATTTAGCGTGCGGCGCTGCGAGCAACCGTCCTGGTCGTCCTATTCAGTTCTATAGAATGGCGTGCCGCCATGCGCTAGCGCAAGCGCAAATGAAGTTCATGTGCACAGATCTTGTGATGGTGTTCATAATACATACCTATCTCGTCGGTTTTCGGTGACACATGTCTCAGCAGCGTACCCTCGACCCATCTGCTTCACTAAAGCTCGTCGGTTTCCCCGGCAGCTGTCAGGGAGTAATTACCAATGGTCATGGTACACACAACCATCTGCATTCCTTCTGACCGTACGTGCAGTAAAAAAAAACGGACACGAAGCCACTGAAATCGCATATATACATATATATATATATATATATATATATATATACATATATATATATATATATATATATATATATATATATATATATATATGTATATGCCTGTTGCATTGGCGCAGCGCATTGACACAACCGATGTCATTTAGGCACACGACCTCCACCCCCATGCGGAAACGGTAGAGCAAGACGTGCTACACGGTTCCACGCGGCGGGTGTAGCATCCAATCCAACATGAATATAGTACACCATGGATTTCGATCGAGTCAATAACGGACGTAAACAAGGGAAGTCAAAATGGAAGAGTCAAGAGGACCATTCGCTCCGCGTGGCTAATTCACGCCCACACGAGTACAATTGATTCTTACCTCCGCACAACGCAGCAACATGAGCGCAATCGATACCTATACGTACCATTTTGATACCCACATTTGATCCTCTAGTCATCATCTGGCTATCATACACAGCACAATGACTACAGCAAGTTCCAGCGTCGAAGTACACGAGAGAAACCGTCGAAAAATAGCTCAGATTTTCATCACGCACAGGCACGCTAACGACACGCGCGAGTCCAGAGCCCCCCCCCCCCCCCCCCCCTCCCCCGCTGGCGGCAGCGCCCCGGTGCACTCCCTAAGCCGGCTGCGGGGCCGGCTTCTTGTCACCCTCGCCAACAGCGGGGGCGACGGCGGGAGCGGGGGCAGGGTCGGTGTCAGCGTCGGTCTCCGCGCCGCGGAAGAACCCCTCAGCAGTGGGACACTCGCGGATGGTGACGGTGCCAGCGTCCACCGTCACGTCCGTGATGACGATGCGGTCCATGAGCGGGTTGACGCGGCGCCAAAACTCGGCGGGTGGCATCACCAGCTGCTCGTCGGCCGGCTCGGCGCGGCGCCGGCCGCGTTCGGCCGGCTCCGGCGGCCGCGGCGGGATGATCTTGATCTTGGGCGACTTGGGCGGCGCGTCACCGGCCTCGGCCGACGCGCGGCGCGGCGACAGCTTGGCCAGCTTGGCCGACGGCGAGCGCGGCCCGGTGGTGGAGATGGTGACGCCGATCTTGCCGGCGTCGTTCAGCAGCTCGGCGCGTCGCTTGCCCGGTCTCTCGGGCTCCGGCTTGTCATCGGGCTCATCGCTGGGTTCGTCGGCCTCGGCCGGCTCGTCGGGCTCGGCAGGCTCGGCCGGGCCGGCGCGCTCGTCGGGCTCGCGCAGCCGGCGCGGCCGTGGCCCGCGCCGGCTCGGCGTGCCGTCCCGCTCCTTCTCCTTGCCCTGGAACGCCTCGATCAGCCGCTTGTCGAGAATGTTCTCCTCCGGCTCCCAGGTGTTGTACTTGGGGCTCCATCCCTTCCACTTGACGAGGAACTCGACGCGGCCCTTGCGGTAGCGCCGCTTCTGGATGCCCTCGGCGGCGTACACGCCGGTGGGCAGGCTGCCGATCTTGTCACTCATCGGGCCGGCGCGGCGGCGGCCGCTCGCTCATCAGCCACACCTGCACATGATGGTCATAATGAGTTCCCTGAATGTCTTACTGAGAGTCACTGGAAAAAAAACATGCTGAAATAACATGCTGATACCCCAGGACATCAGTGTATCAAATTCACCTTTTACACAGACATTAAACAATGGCATACATTGGCATATGATTGAAACAAAACAGAAATGGCAGAAATAGGAACAATACCAAGTGAAATGGTGAAGTAAAATTTCAGTCCATGACAAATGAGGCCATGTATATTAAAGACAAGTTATTTTTAGCATAAACATTCTGAATCATCCAAGATAGGGTGGCATAGGCCTTTCTAGCTTAATGGCATGATAATCATGTCAGCACTTAACAGCATGCATTTCACTAGCCATTTACACACTTAACCTTAACTCTTCTTAACTCTTCTATTAGAACACAATTAAAGTGGGCCTGTAATTCCACCTGCTTGCATTTATACCCTGTTTTATCCCCTTGTGGCTGACAGTCTCAAGAGCTCATGACTAGGAATGCAGTCAGCATATATAAAGCAGAGAGTATTGATACCACTTATTTCTGATTTTTTCCTTCCATTCCTCATCATTTGCTTCAAGTCATCAATAAGTTTGCATAGTCATCATGACATTCCATCCTTTTTAGTTTCACTGCTCTAAGAAAATGGGTGACTGGATGACATATCTGGAAGATATTAATAGAACTTTGAGGCCTCATGCATTCCAGCAGTCAGGTGTTCTGACAAGACATAATGTGCCGATATTTCAAATAAAGTATTACTAGCTCAGGTTGCAGGCATGACACTTAAAACACCTGCAAGGAATGTGTGCTTCACATGGATTTAACTTACATTCAAATAACAAGTACATAACATGGATAAGCCAACAATGATTACTATAACTTGTCATGTTTAGCATGCAACAAATGAGATACAAGCCTGAAAAATACTAAGACAAGACATCATGCTGCCACTGGTAGGCTCTGTCTATCATGGGAGATAACATAGGAAAAGAGTTACTTGATGGTCCAATACTTAAACATATTAACAGATACCCCAAAAGTTATATGTTGCATGGAGATATATCACACATCTTGAAGATTATATAGATCTCAACGCACCTGGCATTCATCTAGTACCTGCAATATGTGTAGTCTTGATATTCAGTATGAATTCTGTGAAATGCTTTTACCATAAACATGCAATGGCATTTGGGCACTAGACCTTGACAGTGTTCTAAATCAAAGACCTCAAATGCAGTGGCCAAGTACAAAAGTGAAAATATTTCATCATTCTGCATCCAGTGTGGCTGATAAGTTGCACTCTGGAATCATTATCCACTTTTATGTTGGAATCATAAAAGTTGTGACCTCCAGGCTGGCTGGCTGGGAATGATTCATGATATGCACACAAGCCTAACAAACTCTTTTCTTAGTACCATTCATGGAAAATATTATGAAGACACAAAAAAGTCTGGAATTTCAGTCATCAAACTCAGTATTATTTGAAACAGATTGCACATGCGACAAAAAACGACACAGCGCAGGCCCCAGCTCAGATGAACCCAATGCCTCATGCACTCTAGTTCTCGAAAGGCACCACGCACTATATTCTTAGCAATCCATAGCGCAGGCCCCAGCTCAAATGAACCCAATGCCTCATACTCTCTAGTTCTCGAAAGGCACCACGCACTATATTTTTAACAATCTACTGTGGGACCAATCGTCTTTTTAACACTTGCATAGTATTAAACTATTGTCATTACGTACCAAGTTAGCACCAATGCCAGCCAGTCCCTCGGACCAGTGTCAACGCCAAGCCAGACCCGCCGTCAACAACGTTCTGTAGCCGTCGGCGACTCAGGCGGAATGGCGGTATCTGGCCACACTATTCGATAATAACAACTTAAACTTCTTGAAGCCTTCTACGCTTAATAAATGGGTTGTAGTAGTTTTTAATTTTGCTTATTTGTTTTATGAATCCTATGTGGCAATCTCCTGCGCTTGTTACCAAGAAACCTACCTTAATAAGCAAGTTATTTTATAAGTCCGCTTGGTGCGGCACAACAGCAAAGTGTGTTTAACGTCCGGCAGACGCGGCATATTTGGCGCTTGTTTTGGAAAGAGGGTTTGTAGCCTCGGTGCTTAGCAGTTCGCAGGAAGGGGGGAGACCGGTGTGGGCCGGGGAGCCATAACGCTGGCACTGCAGAGTGCCAAAAGTGTAGAAGTGTCATTGTTAGGGGACGAGCTTTGACCAAAGCTACGTCTTAGGCGAATGTCCTTAACCGAAGCGCAGTTACTTGTGGTCTGGAGCTGTTGGGTGTAGGATCGCCCTCCATCACAAGATCATCCCTTCACTTGCTGTCTCATTTTATTTTGCGTGCATTGTTTGTCGTTTGATTTTTATGCTTTATTGCCATATAAGTGTAATATCTATGGCTGAGGTGTACCTATACACATCCCATACAAAAAATAGATGGTTGATTTTTCTTGTTTTCATATCTGTTCTGACTATTGGTCTAGCCAGGATGTTTTCCATCCATGTGTGGGCTAAGTACAAGCTGTGAGTTGTACTTAAATCAAATGTGGTGTAAAACACATAGGAAAAGTCACATTTTTAGCTAATGCACCAAGCTGACTAATATTTTTGCATGTCTTCTGAGCTTGCCATGAGCTCAGATTTTAGTCAGAAATGTTGCTGTCCTCTTGGACCACCAGGTAACCTTGAAATCTTTGAGCAGTGAGAGAAAGAAATAAAGGCAGTTGGCAGACAGCCTGATGTATTTCATCACAGTGTGGTTTGCCATCACTGTGGTACATGCCTGCTTTTGAACTATTTACCTGGTTTTAGGTCTAGATGTTTTCTGGTCACTTCCAGCTTTAATCATTTACCATGTGGCTTTAGTTTCAAAATATACAGTGATGTCATTGACCACCTCACATGGCACCCAAATTTGAAATATGTAATGCAGCTCATACCCATGTCTTGTATATTTTCCACCATGCTGTGGGGCTGTTTTTTGGTACCTGACTTGTACCACCTATGTGCTTATGAGTACCTTTTTCAGGTTTTACATTTTACTGAGTATTGATGGAAAGAAATAAGCATGGCATTGGTCCATCCAAAAGAGGTGGGAAGGCAAAGTCCATGGCCCCTCTCCATGGAGACCTTATTGCCTTGGGCTCAAAAGGAGCTACAAGACTGGAAATGGAATCCAAACACCAGCCATCTGCACAGATGAAACCAGGCAACATCCTGCTCTGTAAGAATGTGATGTGTGTTTAGTTTGAATGGTTTGATTTTCATGTCATGATTTAGGTGTGTAAATGCATAGAATTGTATCCATAGAATTTTATGCAATTGCATCTTAGTAGCAGTTGTTTTCTAAATGGAACAATGATTGTCTTAGGCCTGAGATATTCAACCCATCTGTTTGTCTAAATGCTATAAATGATGGCAGATGCATATTTTACTTCATATCCATGTAGTTGATATACAGGATAGTTATTTCGTGAATGTTTTGGTTACCAGCTAAATCTGAGAAGAAAATGGAGCCTGGAACATCTGGCCTGCTGAAAAAACCAAAGCCACAGCTGGGCATGACTGCAGGTGGAAGACCACCAACAGACAGACAGGTAATGTTATGATATATATATATATATATATATATATATATATATATATATATATCTGTGTGTGTATGTGTGTGTGCGTGCGTGCGTGCGTGCGTGCGTGCGTGCGTGCGTGCGTGCGTGCATGCATGCATGCATGTGTGTGTGTGCATGTGTGTTTCATAAATGTTTTGTGATGCTGATGTGTACCATATATCTTCAGAGAAGCAGATGGAATGCAAAGGTCCAAATTAAATATAAGCATCCACTCCAGCGAGCGTCCATCTGTCAGCGGCTCAGTGTCCATACATGATTGCTTTCTTTCGCCAACAAGCCCCCCATTGAACCCCAGCTCAGCCAAAACCCCATGCCCTGGCGATCCCAGCCCAGTCCACAGTAGATCCTTCCCCCTCTGATCGGCCGCGCTGCCGTCCGTGCAGGCGCCGCGGCCGGCCGAGACGGAGGCGTGGCTGGCGGTGGCCGTGGAGCTGCCGGCCAGCGCCGACCTGGTGACGGCCGTGGCCGAGGCCGACTTCCTGCGCGCGGAGGCGCTCATCTGTGGCGCCGTGCGCCAGCTGCACATGCAGCGCGCCAAGCCCGAGCCGGGCCTCACCATCAGCCTGCTGCTGCTGGCCAAGACCCAGCCGGCCGCCTTCTGCTCGGAGACGGCGCTGGCCGCCGTCTGCTCACTGCTGCGCCGCGACGCCGCCGCCAGCTTCAAGTCCAAAGGCAACCCGCAGGTGCAGGTGCTCGCCGCCAATCTGCTCTACTCGGTGTTCCGCGACGAGACGCACTGGAAGGAGATCTTCGTACGGGTGAGAGTCTGCCGCGGCCGGACTGGGTCCGGGCGTCGACCGTGCCGTGGCCGGGCTGGGTCCCGGCGTCGACCGTATGCGGCGGCGGTGAGAGGCCGCCGCGGCCGGGCTGGGTCCGGGCGTCGACCGTGTGCGGCGGCGGTGAGAGGCCGCCGCCGGGCTGGGTCCGGGCGTCGACCGTGTGCGGCGGCAGGTGAGAGGCCGCCGCCGGGCTGGGTCCGGGCGTCGACCGTGTGCGGCGGCGGTGAGAGGCCGCCGCCGGGCTGGGTCCGGGCGTCGACCGTGTGCGGCGGCGGTGAGAGGCCGCGGCCGGGCTGGGTCCGGGCGTCGACCGTGTGCGGCGGCGGTGAGAGGGCCGCCGCCGGGCTGGGTTCGGGCGTCGACCGTGTGCGGCGGCGGTGAGAGGCCGCGGCCGGGCTGGGTTCGGGCGTCGACCGTGTGCGGCGGCGGTGAGAGGCCGCCTCGGCCGGGCTGGGTCCGGGCGTCGACCGTGTGCACTGTCCGTGCGGTCGGTGGCGCTGTCCGCGAACACGCAGCGGCAATGTGATGTCGAATGATGGTTGGTTGCGGCGCTGGCTGCAGCCCATTTGTCCCAGATGGAATGGTCTGTCAGGAGCGGTCTTGAACGCGTTAGAGCTACTGACGTAGTATCAATGCCTCGACGCTCTCTGTGCGTTCGCATCGGTCGTCGCGAGCGTCGCGGCTCCCGTCGCGGCCGCGCAGCCGCACGCGCGGCCCCCAGCCGCGTGCCGCCGCGGCTGACCGGGCACGTCCGCCGCCAGGTGTACCTGGACGACGCGGCCGGCGACCGGCTCTGGGTGGACAGCGAGGAGTGCCGGCCGTTCGTCGACAACGTGGTGACGGCGTTCGGCACGCGCGTCTCGCCCAAGTCGATGCTGCAGCCGGACATCACACTGAGCGCGCGGCCCGACTGTCCGTCGCCACCCGGCGCCTGTGGGTGGAGATACCGCCGAGCTACGAACTCCTGGAGGCTGAAGTCGTCCTGTTGACACTAGCTGCTGGAGTCTTTAGCTTTGCCCTCCTCTTGCGCTTGGGACCCTGCTGGGAGTGCTGTTCATAGACCTGAATGGTTTGAGTTTTGCCATGTAAGGAGCATGTGATTGTTGTTGCCATTGTGGTATGCGCCCATTTGTTCTCAGCGTGGTGTTGTCCAAGGCACCTGTTCAGGCGCATGCTGTCTAGGCGCCATTTCGTCTGAACAGCGTTGCGACTGCGCTTACAGCGCCTGCAACAGGATCCCGTTGCAATGAGCGCAGGCCGTGCGGGGCGTTCGCTTCGTGCGCTCGAGCGGTCACGTGACGCCCCGTCGTCCCCGCCGCAGCGTCCTCCAGTTCGGCGCCGGGCAACGACGACGACGACAGCATGGGCTTCAGTATAGTGCTGGACGAGAAGTCGGGCCACACCGTCATGCCTAGGTGAGTCGGCATTCGGGCAGCCCGTCACGGTCGGCGAGCCAAGCTGGCGACCGTGCGTGCTGAGCTGACATCGGCTCGCCCCGTGCGGCGATCCTAGCGGACCTGCCGTGTTTGCGAGCGGTCGTAACGGACCTGCCGTGTGTGCTGGCGGTCGTGACAGGCCTACCGCGTGTGCGGGGCGGTCGTAACGGACCTACCGAGGGCGGTCGTAACGAACCTGCCGTGTGTGCGGGTGGTGGTGGCGGACCTCCAGCCATATGGCGCGTGCTCCGGTCTGACCTGCCGCGCCGTGCCGGAGGTCACGCCCTGACCCCCCGCCGCCGCCGTGCCGGGCCGCCTCAGGTACGAGACGCAGCAGGAGCGTATCCGAGCGCTGGTGCTCGACGCCGTGAAGGAGTACATCGGCCCCCGGAAGCAGCCGATCGAGACCGTCACCAGGAACATCCTGCGCCTGCTGGCCTCCGTCTGCGGCATACCCGAGGTGAGCGGGGCCTCCCGCCGCACGGTCGGCGCTGGCTGGCGTCCGCCGTCTGCGGCATACCCGAGGTGAGTGGGGCCTCCCGCCGCACGGTCGGCGCTGGCGCTGGCTGGTGTCCACCGTCTGCGGCATACCCGAGGTGAGCGACCTCCGCCGTACGGTCGGCGATGGCGCTGGCTGGCGTCCGCCGTCTGCGGCATACCTTAGGTGAGCGGGGCCTCCCGCCGCACGGTCGGCGCTGGCGCTGGCTGGCGTCCGCCGTCTGCGGCATACCCGAGGTGAGCGGGGCCTCCCGTCGCACGGTCGGCGCTGGCGCTGGCTGGCGTCCGCCGTCTACGGCATGCCTGAGGTGAGTGGGGCCTCCCGCCGCACGGTCGGCGCTGGCGCTGGCTGGTGTCCACCGTGTGCGGCATACCCGAGGTGAGCGGGGCCTCCCGCCGCACGGTCGGCGCTGGCTGGCGTCCGCCGTCTGCGGCATACCCGAGGTGAGCGGGGCCTCCCGCCGCAC